GGCTTCCGCATGCTTGCTCGCTCATCCTCCTCGCTCCTCCTCCTCCTCCTCCTCCTCCTCCTCCTCCTCCTCCTCCTCCTCCTCCTCCTCGCTCGCTCGCTCGCTCGCTCGCTCGCTCGCTCCTCCTCCTCCTCCTCCTCCTCCCTTCTCGCTCCTCCTCCTCCTCCTCCTCCTGCTTCTCCTGCTCCTCCTCCCTATCCTCCACCTCCTCCTCCTCCTCCTGCCCATCCTCCTCCACCCCCTCCTCTTCCATTGACTTTCCTTATTCCTTAATCAGTACTTGCGCTGAGGGGATCCTAGCGGATGTTGAAAAAGTTGGCGAAAGTTTCTGGCCGATTTCGGTGGGCGGCTGGGTTCCCAGGTTCCCAGTTCCGGGTTCCCGGGTTCCTGGGTATTGATTCCAGGCCGATTTCGGTGGGCGACGTGGTAGATCTTTTTATTGTTCGGTTTCAGCATCGATCTCATTACACACTTCTATTACCCATGCCACGATTTATTGCACAATCGATGTCACGATCGATTTCACAATCGATATCACTGCAGATCGCACGAGCGATCACACGATCGATCTCACTGAACCGATTTCACTATTGGTCTCACGATCGACCGTACTATCACCCTCACTATCGATCTCAATATTCAATCAATACTTTTGAAACCATCCACTGATGGGTTTTTCTTTGGTGTAGTACATAATGCGTAAGGGTTTTGTCCCCATACCGCCGGCCCCCCTCTCGTAGAGTGGGACTTGCCAGAGCTGTGTTGGGATGTCTGGACGCTGACGTGAAACAATGTCGGGACTTCACGCGAGGGCCAATATTAATGTGCGAGTGTTAATGTTTTCGGTGGCGCGAATATGAGTTAATTTACGATGGTGCATGGCCTCGGGGGCCCGAATATACTATAAGTTACGAGGGTCTGTGGCCTCGGAGGCGCGAATATTGTGTAATGTAGAAGGGTGTGTGGCCTCGGGGGCGCAAATATTGTGTAACATATTAAAGGTTATGGCCTCGGGGACGCGAATCTTATATAATTTGCCAGGGTTTGTGGCGTCGGGGACGGAAGCATGGTGTAAATTTCGAAAATGCGCCAGTGGATGGCCCTGAATACACTAAAGGGGGGGCGTGCTCACAGAACTCCCTCCCCCCAATCCCCCCCTTCAAAGGGGGGTGAGATTTTCGAGCTCCCCCCCCCCTCTTGGCGCTGGAAATGTGGGGGGGTCGACCCCCCCCCCTCCCCCCCTTTGCGCCGAACAGGGGGCTGGGGAGGGGGCTTCTCGGGTAGTGAGTGGAGAGTAGAGTGTTTTGAGTGGCGATTGGTGGGCAGTGGGTATTTGATCATGAGTAGTGCGCAGTGAGTCGTGAGTGGTGAATGTGAGTAGTGGGTAATGGGGAGTGGTAGTAGTGAGTAGCGCGTAGAGATTAGTGAGTAGTGGGTAGTGGGTAATGGGTAGTGAGTAGCGGGAAGGGAGTAGTGAGTAAGGAGTTTTGAGTAGTGAGGGGTGAATAGTCTGTAGTGAGTAGTGCATAGTGAGTAGTAGGCAGGGAGTAGGGATGAGGGAGTAGACAGTAGCGAGTAGCGAGGAGTGAGTAGTGAGTAGTGAGTAGTGCGCAGTGAGGAGAGAGTAGTGAGTAGTAAAGTGTTAAGTAGCGGGTGGCGAGTAGGGAGTAGCGAGTAGGGAGTAGCGAGTAGGGCGTTGTGAGTGGTGAGTAGTGAGGAGGGAGTAGTCAGGAGTCAGTAGTGAGTAGTGAGTAGGGAGTAGTGCGTAGCGAGTAGGGAGTAGCAAGTAGGAAGTAGCGAGTAGTGAGTAGGGACTAGCGAGTAGGGCGTTGTGAGTAGTGAGTAGTGAGGAGGGAGTAGTCAGGTGAGTAGGGAGTAGTGCGTAGCGAGTAGGGAGTAGCGAGTAGTGAGTAGTGAGTTGTGAGTAGTGAGTAGTGAATAGGGGGTAGTGAGTAGGGAGTAGTGAGTAGTGAGAAGCGAGAAGTGGGCATTGAGTAGTCGGTAGTGAGTAGGGAGTAGCGAGTAGAAATTAGTGAGTAGTGAGTTTAGTGATTAAAGAGTCGGGAGTAGTGAGTAGCGAGTAGTGCGTAGTGGGCTGTGAATATGTCTTACTGGGTAGCGAGGAGAGGATAGTGAGTAGTGACTTATGAGCAGTGCGTAGTGAGTAGTGAATTCTGAGTTCTCAGTATTAAGGGAATGCTGAGTTCTCAGTAATAAGTAGTGGATAGTTGTTAGTGTGTATTGAGTAGTGCTTAGTGAGTAGTGAGTAGTGGGCAGTGAGTACTCTTTTAATGAGTAGTGAGTATTGAGTACTGGGTAGTGAGTAGTGAGAAGTGATTTGGGAGTAGTTAGTAGGGAGTAGGAAGTTGTGAGTAGTGAGTAGTGCGAGCGTAGTGAGTAGTGAGTAGTGGGTAGTGAATAGTGCGTATTGGGTAGCGAGTAGGGCGTTGGGAGTAGCGAGTAGTGAGTAGAGAGTTGTGAGTACTGTGTAGGGAGTAGCGAGTAGTGGGCAGTGAATAGTGAGTTGTGGGCAGTGAGCAGTGCGTATTGAAGTGTGCGTAGTGAGTAGTGTGTAGTGACTTGTGTTTAGTGAGTAGTGGGTATTGAGTAGTGGGTAGGGAGTAGTGAGTAGTTTGTAGTGAGTAGCGAGTAGTGGGTAGGGAGTAGTGAGTAGTGCGTCGTGGGTAGTGAGTAGTGAGACGTGAGTAGTGAGACGTGAGTAGTGAGTAGTGAGAAGTGAGTAGTGCGTAGCGAGTAGTGAATTGTGGTTAGTGAGTGGTGCGTATTGAGTAGTGAGTACTGTTTTGGGCTAGGGTTTGGAGTTAGGGTTAGGGGTTAGGGCAAGGGTGAGGATTAGCGTTAAGGGTGGTAGGGGTCGGGTTCCGGAGACCAGGGGATCCGTGGCGAAAGGGGAGGCGAATTTGGCGGCCAAAAGGGGGGAGGGGGTGGGGGGAACCCTCCCCCCCTTTTGAAAGGGGGGGAGGGAAGGGGTTCCCCGACGAGGGACCGGGAAAGGGGGGGAGGGGGGGGGGTCCCCGACGACAGATCAGGAAAGGGGGGGGGAGGGGGGGGGGTCCCCGACGACGGATTGGGGAAAGGCGGGGAGCGGGTCCCACCCCCCCCCGTGGGGTCATCCGGCGGCGCGCCCTCGTAAATTACACGGGTGTATGGCCATGGGGACTCGAATGTCGTATCAGTTTCGACAGTTTATGGCTTCGGGGGCGGGAACATTCCCTAACGTTCAAAGGTTTTTGGCTTCGGAGGCGCGAATATTAAGTAATGTACGATGTTGTGTGGTTGCGGGGGCGCGAATATGGTGTACTTTACAAGGGATTATGGCTTCGGGGGCGCGAATATCATTTACTTCACGGATCTGTATGGCCTCGGGGATGCGAATATGGCGACCCTTACTAGGGCTTAAGGCCTCGGGGACGCGAATCTGAATTATGTTTACATGTCTCACGACCCCCGGGAATTTAGACAACGCGATTCGGGGACGCTAACCAAGACGTTTTTCGGCTCCCCCCCTCGCGCGTTCAGCAACAGTTAACACTAAGGAAGCAGAAAGCAGGACTACAACACTGGAAACTGGAAGCTGCAACTGGCACAGGGAGCTGCAAGCCTAATCTTCGCAGCCCGATGGCCCCGCAAGGGGGCCAGCGGATGACGGGAAGCGCGAACGAGGAACGAGGAGCGTGGACCGTTTTTCTTAAGGGAAACCTTTTATATAGGGCTCCGGATTGCATCTTGGACGGGCGTTGGCGGATGACGGGAAGCGTCTTCGAGGTACGAGAAGCAAGCGGGACGTTCTGGCTGAATCCTTGAGTAAATATATCTTTTCTTTAACTATATGGGTTGCCGCGCTGCACGGGGTTGACGGGAAGCGTCTTCGAGGTACGAGAAGCAAGCGGGACGTTCTGGCTGAATCCTTGAGTAAATATATATATATATATATATATATGACGGGAAGCGTCTTCGAGGTACGAGAAGCAAGCGGGACGTTCTGGCTGAATCCTTGAGTATATATATATATATATATATCTTTATATCTATGGGTTGCGGGGCTGCACGGGGTTTTTCGTTGGCGGATTCCCCAAAATGGCCATTTCGCTCGAGACATCCTCGAAAAATCGAGGTGTTGGAGGCTATCGTTTAAGACGTCTTATGTTAAAAATGACGGTTTCGCTCGAGACATCCTCAAAAAATCGGGATGTTGAAAAATATCAAAAAAAATTGTTATGCATGAAAAATGAGCGTTTCGCTCGAGACATCCTCGAAAAAATGAGATGCCGACAGAGGTGTTTTAGAACCTCTTATGTTAAAAATGACGTTTTCGCTCGGGACGTCCTCAGAAAATGAGCAGGTGGTCTGCCGTGCTCCTGTGTGGAGCACGGCAGACCACGGCCATTTCGCTCGAGACATCCTCAAAAAATCGAGGTGTGGTCTGCCGTGCTCCTGTGTAGTCTGCCGTGCTCCTGTGGTCTGCCGTGCTCCCCACAGGAGCACGGCAGACTGCGCGTAGGAACCGAGAGGAGCACGGCAGACCAAGACGAGGAGCACGGCAGACCAGGCTGAGGAACCGAGAGGAGCACGGCAGACCAAGACGAGGGGCACGGCAGACCAGGCACCAAGAGCGCCCTCAAGACGACGGAAAGGATGACCAAGACGAGGAGCACGGCAGACCAAGACGAGGAGCACGGCAGACTATGCCCTAAGAGTGCCCTCAAGACGGCCGAACAACGGCAGACCCCATAGGAGCACGGCAGACCACAGAAGAGCACGGCAGACCAACAGGAGCACGGCAGACCACACAAGAGCACGGGTCCGTAGCCATTTTGGCTCAAGGCCATGGCGCACCCGACGACCGCGAGTCCGTCGGGCGTTCTGGAGCGCGAGGGGCGCTTCGCCAAGAGCCAGAAGCTTCGCCAATTTTGGTTCTCTTCGTTCCTGCAGGGCCGAGAGTTTCGGCCGAGCAGCAGTCAGTCCTACGGTGTGCCGCCATGTCGGAGGTTGCCTCGGGGCTGGCCAGGCGGGCGTACTGGTTGTGTGCTAAGCGTGGCTGCAACGCTTGGAACTGGTGTGACAAGCGTTGGTCGTGCAAGGTGTGTGGCACCAGTGCTCCCCCATGGACGAAGGAGTACCGTACCGACAAGGGCCCCCCGAGAGTGGACGCTGACGGGTTCGTACAGCAACCCAGGGGAAGGGCCGAGCAGCGGGCAGCGAGGCGCTCGGCCTCCCAGCGGGCCCTCTCTGGGAGCACCGCGCCCAGCAGCACCCCCAACAGCAGGGCACGGCATGTGCGACCTCGGGGAGAGGCCAAGTCCCAGTTCGAGGAGCTGCAGGCGCAGCTCGTGGCGGCCAGGGAGCGCGTCGACAAGCTCCAGGGGGCCTTGGCGCTCGGGCTCTCGGCGGACTTCCAGCGTGAGGCGGAGAGCGCCCTCCAGCTGGGCAAGGACCAGGTCGCCGCCCTTGAGCTGGCCGTCCAGGAAGCCCAGCGGACGGGGCGCCCACCTCACTCGGTGCTCCACATCGAGGCCAACGCCATTCAGAAGGTCGAGCGCCAGCTGGCCGCGGCACGCACCAAGAAGGAGAAGCTCCAGCTGCAGGCGTCCGAGCTGCGCGAACTCATCGCGGAGAAGCAGGGGCAGCTGTCGGCAGCCGAGTTGGGAGTGGATGAGGTCGCGGGGCAGATTGCCGAGCTGGAGGATACCAGAGCCAAGGTCACGCAGCAGGCGATCCAGCGGGCCAACGCGGCCGTCGGAGGTGTTCCGAGCCCGCTTGGGGACGCAGTCCAAGGGCTGCTCACTCAGGTTGGCGCCCTTTCGGATCTCCTCAAGCAGCACGGGTCGGAGCTGCCCCCTAGGTTCTCCGAGATCGTCGGGATTCTCAACACGCAGAAGGAGGCGGTCGCCGAGGTGCTCAGGCCCCGCAGCAGCTCGGTCAGGGCGCGTTGGGGCGACAGCGTCGGGGACGATGGCCTCTCGACCGAGGATGACGACATGCCGCTTGACATCGTGGCCTCTGGGGGGCCCGCGGCCGCCCCGCCCGCTGCAGCCCCGCAGACAGGGCCTACCGCGGCTGGGCCGCCAGCCCCGCGGGCCAGGTCAGTGGACGGGCCCTACGGCCCTGCAGCGGCCCGCGGCCAGCACGGGGCGACCCTGGGCACATGGCCTCAGGTGGAGCCGTGCCTCGCTAAGGCCCTCGCTGAGCAAGGGGCGGCCCTCACGGACAGCGACCCCTTGGTGGCTGCGGCTGCTGTGGTTGCTCCTGCTGCTGGATACGGGCCGCGCCGTGGGTGATGCGAGAGCGTCGGAGTGGTCAGCTTCCACCGCCGACCTCGACGTCGGGGACAGCGGAGCGCCCTTTCCTCGGGACGTGCGAGGGCCCAGCTGCTGGGACAGGTGGAGGAGGCGCTGTGACGGCCGCTGGCGCGCCCGCGGCCCTCGCAGGCGGCGGGCGGCGCCGAGCACCCTTGCCCGAGGTAGCCAACTGGCGCGGTCGGGAACACCGAGGTGGCCCCCCGACGGCCAGTCAGGGGCCGTGAGCGGTGGGATTCAGCCCCACGACGTCGCAGCTCTCGGCCCCGATGGTGATGGGCAGGGGCACCCCCCGCTGGCAACCGGAGGGGTCGAGGGACGGCCACCTCCTCAGAGGCGGCCACCTCCCGCGCTGGCCAGCGGCCCGCCGACGCCGATGAGGAGCGCTGGAGCGTGGGGCCAGGTCCCCCCTCCAGTCCTGGTGGGGGCGGAGGGTCCCGCGACCAGGGGCGCGGCGTGCCCTGTGTCGGGCGCTGGTCAGCGCGCAGTCCGCGTGGCAGCCGTCATCGGCAAGGCGCCGATGGTTGACAGGGCAGGAGGCCGGCAGCTTCGAGCCGGCCTCGTCTTGTTCGGCTGCAACGGCAACACGTGGAACAGGAGTATTGAGGCCATTGAGGCCTTCTTCAGGACGTGCAACTACTGGCCCGACGAGGTGGCGCTGCGGGAGACGAGGCTCCCGCATAAGCGCCTGCCTAGTGCGGCGGCTCAGGCCCGCGGCCTGGGCTACGTGGCCTTCCTCCCCGAGGCAGCGCTGACGGACAAGCAGGGGCCCCAGGCGACCTCAGGCGGCGCGGCGTTCCTGGTGCGAGACGGCTTGCAGGCCGACGAGTCGGCGTTCTCGCTGCCCTCGGCCTTGCGTCACCGCCTCAGCTGTGTGGAGGTCGCCACCGCCTCGGGCCTTCGGTTCCTGGCGCTTTCGGGGTTTTTCCAGCACTCTGTGGGCCCGCGAGGCACCAACCTGGACTTGTTTGCGGCCATCTCGGAGGTGACGGGCTTCTCTGCCGACATCCCGTGGGTCCTCCAAGCCGACTTCAACATGGAGCCTGAGCCCCTCGAGGAGTTGGGTTGGCCGTGGCGGTGCGGGGACACGTCCTGGGGCCCTCGGAGGCGACGTGCCATGCCGAGGGCTGTGACCACCTCTACGTCTGGTTCGTGGCTTCAGCGGCGTTGGCAGCCAGCGCGGCCTCCTGTGCCACCACGCTCGAGGGCTTCGGTGTGCACCCCCATCGCCCTGTCCTGCTTCGCCTCCAGGATGTCTGCTCGCTTCCTGGGCCCGTGTGTGGAGGAGATCCTCATCGACTGTGCGTCTACGGTCAGCTGCCTCACGTTGGGCAAGTGGTACGCGTCGGCAGCCAACAAGCCCAATGCCCATCTCTGGGATGGGATCTACGCTTCGCTGGCCGTGGACACGCTCAAGGTGACCAAGGATGCAGCCCACCGTACCGCCAGAGGCGTGCTGGATGGCAAGGTCACGGAAGCCTACCTCCGCGGCAACGGTCATGCCGACCGCTGGGCCAAGGCAGGTGCTGAGCTGCACCGCGCCAGCGCTGTGGCCAGGCGCGGGTTCTTCGGCACGATGGAGGTGGTGAGGGAGCTCTCTTGCTGCGTGGCGCAAGGCCCCCTCTTCTGGCAGGGGATGGCCTTCGCCAGGTGCGGAGACGGCGCAGCCGAGCAGGAGCTGATGGCGTGCACCCACTGCGGGGCGTACGCGAGGCTTGGCGGGCGCACAGGCGCGGCGCCCAAGCTCAAGGAGTTGTGCCCTGGCTCTGCTGGGCCGCCCAAGGGCAGGCGAGACCAGAAGGCACGTTGCGATGAGGGCCGCGAAGGCAAGGGTATGGCCAGCGCCAGGGGTGGCAGGGGACCTGCAAAGTGCAGTCCTGTGTGCGGCCCCGCCCTGGGCACTGGCAGTGGGTCTCTGGGTGCGGCGACGCCTGAGGAGGACCAGCGGCAGCCGCAGCTGGCTTCTGGGGAGGCGGGTCCACGTGCAGCTACGGCTGGTGCCAGGGGTGGCAGGGGACCTGCAGTTTGCGGTCCTGAGTGCGGCCCCGCCCTGAGCACCAGCACCCACCCCGAGCGGCGACGGAGTACGGCCTGGGCCAGGGGTGGCAGGGGACCTGCAATGTGCGTGCGTGAGTGCGGCCCCGCCCTGAGCCCAGGAAGCGACGCGGACCGCGACGGCATGTGCATGGCCAGCACCAGGGGTGGCAGGGGACCTGCATGTGCCGACCGTGTGTGCGGCCCTGCCCTGAGTGCTAGCCGTGTTGCGGTGGCTCGGCCTGAGCCAGCGCAGCCGAGGCGCAGCGTCGCGCCCAGGCTTGAGCTGCAGGTCGCTGGTTGGGCGCGGTACTGGACCCAGGCTCCCGAGGTCGGCGAGACGATGGAATGCTACAGCGAGTGGCTAGACCACTGCGTCGGCTACGTCACGCAGATCCTGTCCCAGCCGCGCTTCGCCACCAGGCTGCGGGCGCGTGGGAGGACGGCCGAGGAGATGGCCGAGGAGATCTGCGAGCGGGCCTGGGGGACTGGCACGCCTGCGAGGCGGGCCTACTACAGGTGGCGCCACACGCTGACGCGGTCGCAGAGGATCGTGGCAGACTGCATGCGGCGCTACGACTACGTGTGCCTGCGGACGTGGCTGGCCGAGCTGCCGCGGGAAGGGCAGCCTCCGCCCATTGGCCCGCGCAGAGCGCCTTCGGTGCCGTGGAATGCGGGACGCAGGAGGCGACGAAGAAGTGGTTGAATGTCGGCCTCTCCTGGCACGCCCCACAGCGGCAGCAAGAGGGTCGGCGCGACAGTACCCTGCCTTCGCAAGGAGGACGTGGTGCCGATGGAAGCCAGGGTGCGCTTCCTTCAGTGGCTGGGGGTCCGCCCCGTGGGCGCCCCTTGCGGCGAGGCCGCTGGTGCCGACAGTGGGCCCCCCTGCGGCGCGGCGGCGGCTGGCGAGGCGGCTGCGGAGCCACAGGCGCCTGGCCCCGCGGGGGCCACGAGGGAGGCCTGGCTGTGCGCCCTCGGCCTTGAGAGGCGAGCCCCCATGATTGGTCAGCCGCGGCGGAGACGGCGCGCGAGGACAGGCGCAAGAGACGCCGCCGTGCTGTTGGTGACGAGGGGGAGTGACGCAGCATCTTCTTCTCCTTCTGTTGTGTCCGCCCCTCGGCATCCTTTTCCTTTCAGTGCGTGAGGCAGCTCTTCTGCCCATTGTTGCACTTGCAGCGTGGGGGGCTTGTTGGGCGTGCGAGCGCGCCTCTGCCTCTGCTGCCTTCTTGGTTTCTTTGAAATCGTGCGCTTCGCGCGTTTGGCGCTTCGCGCCCCCCCCTGCGGTGGCTCCTTTGGGGCCCCTAGGGTTGGCCCTTGAGGCCCTGGGGCCAATGGGCTCCGCGGGCCTCGGGCTTCTTTTAGCCTTCATAGGCCCCGCAGCTCACAGCTCACACAAGAGCACGGCAGGCCACACAGGAGCACGGCAGACCACACAGGAGCACGGCAGACCACCAAGGAGCACGGCAGACCACACAAGAGCACGGCAGACCCCACAAGAGCACGGCAGACCCCACAGGAGCACGGCAGACCCCACAGGAGCACGGCAGAGCAGACCAAAAAAAAAGGAGCACGGCAGACCACACAGGAGCAAGGCAAACCACAGGAGCACGGCAGACCACACAGGAGCACGGCAGACCCCACAGTAGCAAGGCAGACCCCAAAGGAGCACGGCAGACCACCGGAGCACGGCAGACCACACAGGAGTACGGCAGACCCCACATGAGCACGGCAAATCCCAAATTAGCACGGCAGACCACAAGAGCACGGCAAACCACACAGGAGCACGGCAGACTCCACAGGAGCACGGCAGACCACACAGGAGTACGGCAGACCCCACATGAGCACGGCAAATCCCAAATGAGCACGGCAGACCACAAGAGCACGGCAGACCACACAGGAACACGGCAGACTCCACAGGAGCACGGCAGACCACAAAGGAGCACGGCAGACCACACAGGAGCCCGGCAGACGCCACAGGAGCACGGCAGACGCCACAGGAGCACGGCGGAACCCACAGGAGCACGGCAGACCGCGCGCGGGTACAACTTAAACGCGCCTTTTTGTTGTACCCCGAACGCCGCTGGCGTTTCCCCAACAGGAGCACGGCAGATCTCACAGGCGCGCGGCAGACCCAAATGAGCACGGCCGACCACAGGAGCACGGCAGACCCCAAATGAGACCCCAAATGAGCACGGCCGACCACAGGAGCACGGCAGACCCAAATATGAGTTTCTCCTAACCCTCAAGGAGCACCGTAGACCGCCCTCAGGGCACGGCTGACCACTCAGGAGCTCGGCAGATCACACAGGGCGCGGCAAACCACAAAGGAGCAGGGGGGGAGACCAAATGTGAACGGCTGTCCTACGTCGCACGGCAGACCGCACAGGAGCACGGCAGACCGCACATGAGCACGGCAGACCAAGAAGGAGCACGGCAGACCACACAGGAGCACGGCAGACACACAGGAGCACGGCAGACCACACAGGACACGGCAGACCCCACGGGAGCACGGCAGACCACACAGGAGCACGGCAAACCACACAAGAGCACGGCAGACCATACAGGAGCACGCCAGACCACACAGGAGCACGGCAGACCACACGTCAGCACGGCAAACTCCACAGGAGCACGGCAGACCCCAAAGAAGCACGGCAGTGGTACGTGGCACTGCTGTGGTATGCCGTACTAAAAACGTGGAATATCTCATAAGCCCAGGGGACAAAAGGACGCTTCCCGTTCTTGTCCGGTCAGGTGACGGGAAGCGTCTTCGAGGTACGAGAAGCAAGCGGGACGTTCTGGCTGAATCCTTGAGTAAATATATATATATATATATATATATATATATATATTTATATCTATGGGTTGCGGGGCCGCACGGCGTTTTTCATTGGCGGATTCCCCAAAATGGCCATTTCGCTCGAGACATCCTCGAAAAATCGAGGTGTTGGAGGCTATCGTTTAAGACGTCTTATGTCAAAAATGACGGTTTCGCTCGAGACATCCTCAAAAAATCGGGATGTTGCAAAATATCAAAAAAAAATTGTTGTGCATGAAAAATGAGCGTTTCGCTCGAGACATCCTCGAAAAAATGAGATGCCGACAGAGGTGCTTTAGAACCTCTTATGTCAAAAAAGACGTTTTCGCTCGGGACGTCCTCAGAAAATGAGCAGGTGGTCTGCCGTGCTCCCGTGTGGAGCACGGCAGACCACGGCCATTTCGCTCGAGACATCCTCAAAAAATCGAAGTGTGGTCTGCCGTGCTCCTGTGTGGTCTGCCGTGCTCCTGTGGTCTGCCGTGCTCCCCACAGGAGCACGGCAGACCGCGCGTAGGAACCGAGAGGAGCACGGCAGACCAAGACGAGGAGCACGGCAGACAGGCTTAGGAACCGAGAGGAGCACGGCAGACCAAGACGAGGAGCACGGCAGACCAGGCACCAAGAGCGCCCTCAAGACGACGGAAAGGATGACCAAGACGAGGAGCACGGCAGACCAAGACGAGGAGCACGGCAGACTATGCCCTAAGAGTGCCCTCAAGACGGCCGAACAACGGCAGACCCCATGGGATCACGGCAGACCACAGAAGAGCACGGCAGACCAACAGGAGCACGGCAGACCACACAAGAGCACGGGTCCGTAGCCATTTTGGCTCAAGGCCATGGCGCACCCGACGACCGCGAGTCCGTCGGGCGTTCTGGAGCGCGAGGGGCGCTTCGCCAAGAGCCAGAAGCTTCGCCAATTTTGGTTCTCTTCGTTCCTGCAGGGCCGAGAGTTTCGGCCGAGCAGCAGTCAGTCCTACGGTGTGCCGCCATGTCGGAGGTTGCCTCGGGGCTGGCCAGGCGGGCGTACTGGTTGTGTGCTAAGCGTGGCTGCAACGCTTGGAACTGGTGTGACAAGCGTTGGTCGTGCAAGGTGTGTGGCACCAGTGCTCCCCCATGGACGAAGGAGTACCGTACCGACAAGGGCCCCCCGAGAGTGGACGCTGACGGGTTCGTACAGCAACCCAGGGGAAGGGCCGAGCAGCGGGCAGCGAGGCGCTCGGCCTCCCAGCGGGCCCTCTCTGGGAGCACCGCGCCCAGCAGCACCCCCAACAGCAGGGCACGGCATGTGCGACCTCGGGGAGAGGCCAAGTCCCAGTTCGAGGAGCTGCAGGCGCAGCT